TTTCAGACAGTGATCACGTCAGTCAGTGTGTCTGCTAGTATTTCAGGAGGTGATCCAGCGTGTCCTGATAATGTGTTCTCCCCCCAGGCTGTATAAGCTGCACGAGAGGAAGTGTGAGCCCATTATGATGACCGTTCCGAGGAAGGTCAGTGGCTCTCCCACTCCCACAGCTGACGGAGAGCTGTCCACACCAGCCCCATTCTGCTCGCATTGCAGAAGTGTCGTCCCCCTGGTGTCACTCTGCCTGGTGCAGTTTTCTTAAGGGGTCACGCACTGCACAACAGATGTTTTAGTAAGACCAGTTTTTAGCTGAATTCTTCTGTCTGTGTTTTACAGAAGATTCTGAGACATTATATCATACTAAACCCACTTCAAACAATTGGAATTTGTCCAGACAAATCAAAGTTACGTCAGCTACCTGAGCATGGATGTCAGGCCCTGCCGAGTGCACCGGGGCAAGCTATTCCATGTACATCCGTGTTTGTGCCTCCTCCGTTTCATGCTAGGTGTTGTGTCTGTCTCGAGGCTGCTCAGTTTCCCTCTCCCCTGCGCCCCACAGTCGGACCTGTTCCAGGACGACCTGTACCCCGACACGGCGGGCCCGGAGCCGGCGCTGGAGGCCGAGGAGTGGCTGGAGGGGAAGGACGCGGAGCCCATCCTGGTCTCCCTGCGCGACGGCTACGTGCCGGTGAAGAGCCGCGAGCTCAAGGTGGTGAGGAAGAACGTGCTGGAGAGCCGGCTGCCCCCGCGCCGCAGCATGTCCTCCTGCGACGGCACGTTCCCGGTGAGTCCCAACCCCCCCCCCCCCCAGAGGTCAAGGGTCCAGCTGTGCCAGCTGTGGCTCACTGCCTTTTCCACAACCGTGAGATTAGAAAGCTCCACTGCAACATCAGCTCTAAGGGGAGTACTGGATATGTAGTGTTATGAGAGCCAGCAGCCATATCACCCTGCAGCTCACCATTGGCAGCCCACTAACACTCAGCAGGGGCGAGCCTGGTCAGTACCTGGATGGGAGACTCGTGGGAAAGCTAGGGTGGCTGCTGGAAGAGGTGTTAGTGGGACCAGCAGGGGGCGCTCACCCCGCGGTCTGTGTGGGTCCTAATGCCCCAGTATAGTGACGGGGACACTATACTGTTGCAATGCTCCGTGGAAAGCAAAGGGCATGACAAGGCACAGAAAGGCGTCATGGCCATCCACTGCAACCGAGGAAGTCTCCAGTGGGGACGACGTCTGGTACTGCTGGACCCGGGCTTCTGAGGGCGAGAGGGCGACGGGTGTCCCACTTCAGAAAGCTCCCCCGCACGGGTGTCTTCGAGCAGGTCATCTTCCAAACAGAGGACAACCGTCGGCGTCAGACACGGCGGACAACCAACCAGTGTCATGAGAAACGGACCCCATGTGTTCCATTGCTCGTAACTCCAGTAGGACGTCACCCTGTTTGCGCAATACAGCAGGGGTGCCCTCAGATTGTGCGGGTGTAGGTGGGGGGGGGTTCATCCAGAGGCATAGAATCTGGTGCTCTGTGATCGTGGAGAGCCCTGCTGCTGGCAGGCGAGAGCGCAGGCAAACTGACTCTGCTGACAGCCCTGTAATTCTCCAGACGGGGAGGAAACGGGGTCACAGGCGATCCCTCGGCTTGCAGGTGGCGCCCCCTGGTGTTCCCCGCCTGTGATGTCTAGAGCCAGCTGCGAGGAATGGGTCTTCTGTCTTCTCCTGTGCTCCCTGTCCTCTGTTCTTTCATTTGACCTTTCCCTCCCCCTCTCTCCTCTCTTTCTGTCTCCAGCCACAGCAGATGATGCTGGAGAAGCTGCTGGAGGAGATTCAGGGCCTGAAGGCCGTGGTTCAGTCACAGGACAAGCGAATCAGCGATCTGGAGAACAAGCTCTCTAAATTCACCAATGGCACCGCCTAACCCGCCCCTGTCCCTGCTGCTCCCCAGTGTAGGACTGCTCTATCGCCAGAGATAGACCTCACCCCCCCCTGGGATTCTCAGAGCCTCAGACCAACCCCCTGCCCAGCTCCGCCATGCTGCAGTCCCCAATACCCCTCCTCCCTCCATCCTGCTGTCCCCTGGGGGCGTGGGCGTTCCCCCCCGTCTCCCCGATTTGTCTCGCGCGCAGCTCAGGGGCGCCTGCGCCTCTGGCACTTCCAGTCGAGAGCAGAAAAAAAAAGAATATTGTAAATATAAAAACTGAAAGGAAAAAAAACAACATTGTTTAGACAGTCAATCAATAAAACAAACCAAGGTTCTTGGTCTTCTATTTAAAAAAAAAAGCGCTCGGCAAAGAGAAAAAAATAAAAGCAACCTTTTTTTGTAAAAAAAAAAAGAGCGGACTCTTCCGATCGTCTTGGGTTTCCGGAGTTCCTGCCTGCTGGGGCTCGGAGAGGGGCCGGAGAGGGGCAGGACAGACGCTAGCCAGGCTACAGCAGGGCAGACCGCGGTGCTGCCCTCATTCACCCACTGGCCGCGTGACCTGTAGCCCAGTACACAGAGCCCTGTCAATTCAATTCAATTCAACTCGGGGTGCTTCATTAGCATGACCGATGGGTACAATCAGTATTGCCAAAGCAAATAAAAATAATAAAATTAACATGGAACAAAACGGAAAATAAAAGTAAAATAAAATCTACAGACGTATTACAGACATTTACAACAACACTGTTCCATTGCCCTGCGCTCTGGGAGCGTATGGCTGGTGACTGTCTCCTGCAGGCCCTGGCCTTTTAAGAAAACTGACAGGAATACAAGACAGGTGCACGCAGCCCGTCTGTGACACAGCAGCTGAGGCGGAGATGAAACTTCTTGAAATTGACGTCCTTTAAGTCCTGTTTGGTCCTTTTTGTTTTCTGTGTTCATTTGCTCTGTGGTTCCTTTCCCAGTCCTGACTGAGGGCTTCTGCTGCTTTATATCGCCAGCAGCCACATCGCTCTGCAACTCACCACTGGCAGCCCACTGGAGCTCAGCAGGTGTGAGCCTGGTCAGTACCTGGTTGCTGCTGGAAGAGGTGTTAGTGGGGCCAGTAGGGGGCGCTCACCCTGCGGTCCATGTAGGTCCTAATCCCCCAGTATAGCGATGGGGGACACTATACTGTAAACAGGTGCCGTCCTTCGGATGAGACGTAAAACCGAGGTCCTGACTCCCTGTGGTCATTAAAAATCCCAGGGTGTTTCTCGAAAAGAGTAGGGGTGTAATTTCCCATTGGCCCTTACCAATCATGGCCTCCTAATAATCCCCTATCTATGAATTGGCTTCATTACTCTGCTCTCCTCCCCACTGAGAGCTGGTGTGTGGAGAGTGTTCTGGTGCATCATCCAGGTGGGGCTGCACACTGGTGGTGGTGGAGGGGATCCCCATTAAAAAGCGCTTTGAGTGGAGTGTCCAGAAAAGCGCTATATTAGTGACGATTCAGTCTAGATTCAGGTAGAACATGGTGCCATGCAGGGGTTCTGTGTTTCTACCATGTGGATGGTCAGTTCAGGTCGTTAGGAATCTGTTGGTATGTCAGCTTCCTTGCATAATGTGCGTTTGCGTCCCCATTACTGACGGCGAGAAGCAGGGAGTGAAATATTTCAGTTCTGGCCAACAAGAGCACGAGAGGACACGAGCAATGTTTAAAAGGTGTTTATTTCAGTTTCCACCATCTCACACAGTTCCACAAATACACCAGTGTTGCCTGACACTCCACACATCAGTAGCAGAGAGAAGGTTCTAAAAAATCTTTTTTTTCATCAACATTATTATTGTTATTTAAAAAAAAAAAAACACCCCCACCAGATTGCTGACTGCAGCTGCAGCCCTTATTAAAACAGACCTACACAGCCTTCCCCCGGGCTGTGGGGTCTGGCTGTCAGCTGGCCTTTCCACCTTGTTGTTCATCAGTTATTTTTGGACTGTGGGTCTTGTAAACACGTGTTTCCTATTTCTTGACATTAAACATCCTCACACACAGGAGAAGGCAGATCAGTGCAGTACAGTAGTTTCCTTATTGATTCCCTTAATAATAAACTAGACAGTGTCCCACAAACTACAGAGCACAGGGCCCCATAACACTGTCACACGACAGCACTGAGGGCACCATGGCAACACTGCAGGAGTGGGGGAATCGTGGGAATGCTATAGGCAGCACTCTGAAAGACAACTAAAAAAGGCTAAATTCTATGTACCATCAGGGCTTTCCCATCAGGAGGAGCCCTGTAAAAAGCGAGAAAGGTACTGGTTTACACCCCAGTCTGTAGCTGGGGCACCTCCACACTAGAGGACACCTTAGCACAGTGTGCAGTGAGAACGTGTCCAGACTGGAGCAGCGGTTCAGAGGAAATGCTATATAAGGGAAAGTAAGGGGCGGGGTCAGGTCTTGGCTCCTCCCACCACATCAGCCTCACTACCACCTGGAGCAAGAGGGCTCCATCGTTTTCACCATCACGTGTTTGAAATTCACTGGTTTCAGCTTAACTCAACCTGTTACTGATATTCTTTCAGTACCTGCCCATAAACTGCTTTCACACTTCTTATAAATTGATTTCTAAATATCAGTTTAGATTTTACTGGTTCTTTCCTTTTCTTTATAAAGTTGTATTTAGGAAAATTATTATAAGGCCTTGAATGAGAGCAGCAGTGTGATCTGAGGAATCATAATGAAGGTCTTGGTGAACCTGGCGTCCAGCGTTCTGACTTTCAGTGGCTGGGATAATATGTATTCAAGTCCACAGGCACAGTATGAGAGAATCGTGCCTGTGGATCTGGATGCTGAACGGACTGTGCAGTAACTGACTGCATCTGTGAGCACAGTCAAGATGACCCCCTCATTAGTTTTTACCATGGGGGGAAGCAAACACCGCCTCCTGCTGGACACGTCATACACTGCACCCAGGTCTCCCTGTTTTCGCCCCTCACCTGCCCTGGCCACTCAGGACCAGCATCTCAGAAAGGCACACAGCAAGTTAATGTGCACAGAGATGCCGAAAAAAAGAAAACCCAGTAATGAGGACTTTCCTCTTCTGAGAGAGAGGTGGTTCAGAGAAGAACATTGCCCGTTTGCACCACAGATTGTATCTAAGTGATCATCTAAATGAACCGTGGGGTCACTGACAGCAGTCCGTTTGCGACAACAGGTCCTGGGGTTTTTATGTTCCAACTTGAGTTTCTCAATCATTTACTCAGATTTCTTCAGATCTTCTGTTTGGTCGCATACACCAACTGCTCTTGGTTTAAGGTACGGTGTGCGTGAAACAATTCTGAGACCCCGAGGAGAGAAGACGGGGGAATGAAACGGAGAAACTGTGCTCAGTGCAAGGTCCAGGCCTGCCCACCTGAGCGCCTGCCCCAGGACCAGACCCCCTGGACCTGCTGGGAGGTGCGTGGTGGTGGCTGGAGGGGGGCTGTGCAGGCCCGGGCAGGAGGAGTTTCAATTGCAGCATCGAGACGTCGCCGCGTTGATGCGATCTGGCCCCACCCTGATCTCCCGGCCCGAGGGAACAAGAGCCAGGCCTACGCGAGGAAGGTCTGGACCCCAGCCGCGTCACCGACTGAGGCACTGCGGGGCGGGGAGGGCGGAGAGACGCTCCTCGCCTGGCGCCCAGCAGGGGGCGACAGGCCTGCGGCCGAACAGAAACCCCCCCCGGCGGGGGTGAAAAAAATGGCTCAGTGTTACAAAGCTCTGAAGAGCTGGAGGAGGGACGGGTCCCTGTTCGTAGACACACAGCCTCTCGCCCTGACTGCTGGCTTCCAGCACAAGTCACAGCTCTGCAGGATGCAGGCTGGGCTGCGGACCTCGATGATTCCGATGCAATTGCCAATAATCAGATCAGTTAATTAGATGATTAAAGCCTTGGGGTGGAGGGAAAGGACTGGCCCAAGCTGGATTAAGGGATTGTTCTGCAGCTGAAGGACTGGCGAGCAGACTACAGCCTCTCCAGTTTCCTACATGTCCTCATCTGAACTGACACATTTCTCGTTCGGAAGCAGACCTGTAGATTCTGCTGTGTTCCGTTGTCTCGACTTGTAGCTTGGAGTTTCCCTGCACAGAGCAGGGGGGGGGCTCTTTCACATTTGTTCTCACAGGAGATCCATTAAATTCTGCGAATCCCCTAGTCGTTTCTGCTACCGCCCCGATGGCAAAGATCACCAGAACTGAGGACCAGACAGACGGACCGCCTGCTAACTCATCGCAAGCCAAAGGAAGCAAACTTTTCTTTCAAATGGAGAACAAAGCAGAAGAGGGTTCACTCGACATGCTGGTCTCTCCCCAGGGTTTCATGTTCCAGAACGGGGTGTCACCCTGAGATTCCGGTCGTGTTCCCAGGGCAGGGGTGCTGTCTGCTCCCTGGGCCTCTATGGCCAGGCTCACTGGGCTGACTTTTCAAAGCTTTTCGTTTTTGGTGGGCTCAAGAGCTCATTTCTGCTCTCCTTTTTTCTGAGAAGTCCCCGTAACACCTAGCAGAAGGCAACACGAACGACTGGAAAAAAAGAAATATCTGTTGTCGGCGTTTGTGTGTGTTTTGTTTGTTCACTCGGACGTGGTTTTGAAAATCAGCTGCACTTTCACATAGAGGTAGAAAAAGTTAGGCAGATCCTGCACTGGAGCGAAAAAAGCTTTGAAACTCATCCCACTAGTCCTCCAGAAGACCTCGCCCTCAACCCAGCGCCTGCTAGGAGCCCCCGGCAGAGAGGCAGGAGCCCAGTCGCACCTGGAGGCACCCCAGAGCAGGACAGGGGCTGTGAGCCTGAACCGCCCGATCGGCTCGTCAACACGCCGCTGCTGCCTGCGTTCAGTGGGAAGTGGAGTTAGGGAAGACGAGTACAAGATTAAAAGTGCAATAAGTATTGCTTGTAAAACTATGCCTGCTGGACCTCCTCTGAGTTTGCTAAACTCACACACCTAGTGATGGCTAAGACTTCCGCAGAACGCCTTCCCTCACCTTGGACAGGTCGAGGCCTGCAGGTTTCAGCTCTGGTCGCCTGAAAGCCAGAAACCAGTAACTTAGACCAATTGATCAACAAAAGGCTCAATGAAAATCTCCAAGATTTCAGAAGCTCGTGTGACTCTTCAGGACCAGGAGTGGGGATCACCGGTCTGGTGAACTAATGTAACATTAATGGTTAAGATTCGGGATGTCTGCAGCCCTGCGTGTGGGATGTCCTTTTAACTCCAGGTGTGACTGGGCTCCAGCATGCCTCGAAGGGGCTCAAAACATTTTGAGGTGTATCTCTTTTGTTGTAGTTCAAGTCCTCTGTCAGTAGAGTCGGTAGGTTGGGCTGGTCCAAGATCTCCTGCTGGGGCCTCTGTCTGCAGAGCAAGGCTGAGGTTTAAGGGTTGTGGCCTGGAGGGGGATGGAGGTGGCGGGGGAAGGCCTGGTATTTTCCCCTCTTGATTTTGGAAGATGTCTCTTGCTCACACCCCAGTGTGTGACTACCTTTCCCACTCCCAACTTGTGCCTGGTGACTCCACCCCTCTCGTACAGGTAGGTGCCCTATCATTGCTATTTCTCCATGAGTGACAGCTGGATTATGCGCTCGAGCTCCTCCTCTTCCTGCCGCTGCCGCTGCTCCGCCTCTTCCTGTTCGCGGGCCGAGAGCTCCATAGCCAACCGTAGCTGCTCATCGTAGCTCCTCAGCACCGGATTGGTTGGAGTGCTGTGGGGGCTGGGCTGGGGGTGGGGCCTGTGCTGAGGAGTCCTGAAATAAGAGAAAGATTGAGCCAGATGATGTCTGGAAGTGAGTCTGTCAAGTTGCCTGCATGGATCCTTAATTTAGTACAGCTGCTGCTGTAACAGTTACAATTGCATAATGATATTGAAATGAGAAATATCAGTAGAGGTGTTGAACTCTTTCCAATTGATTTTCAGAGATCAGGGGTGAAGGGGTGTACTGGCTGTAGCCCAGACATTCTCTACTTTAGCGTAGCAGACTTGGAATTGTACACAGGCCCGTCTATGAGTGGGCAAGAGAGGATTTTACCCCCCTCTGTGTCTTTTAATCTTTGTAGGAGTCAGCATGTGGAGAACCTTTTATTTTCTGCTTCTTGTCTCCAAGTCTCAGATTGTCTCTTTTCTGTGGGTCATTGCTTTGTGTCTGTTTCTGCGGATCCAGTCAGAATAATCCGGAAAAAGTCTCCGTGAGGCATGGGCATAAGAAACAGTCCTGCAGGGCTCCTGTGGGAAGACTTTATTTCACCTGGGAATGGGGTCCCAGGTAAAGTAAAGAGGGACTGCAGCCCCAATCTGTCAGACCAGTTGACACATCTTAGTATCACAATAAAGCCATTGACTGTTAAGAAAGCTTTTGCAAATTTT